CAGTACTACCCTGTTACCAAAACCAGGCAAAGGCATCACAAGAAAATAAAACTACAGACAAATATCCTTCATGAACATCAATATAAAGTAAAAATTTTTTTTGCAAACTGAATCTAACCCTATATAAATGAAAACTATATCATAACCAAGTAGGATTTATCCTGAGAATGTAAAGCTAGTTTAACACAGAAAAATCAATCAATGTAATTCACTATATTAGTAAAAAAAGAGAAAAAATAGTTCATTTGAATAGGTGGATAAAAAGCATTAAAACAAAAATGCCGCATTCATTATAAATAGCCAGAGGAATAGAAGGGAATTTCCTCAAATTTATTATGAACATCCTTTAAAAAACCTACAGATAACATCCTACATCAATGGTGAAAGGCTCAATGCTTTATATGTACAAATAGAAACAAGGCCAGACTATCCACTCTCACCACTTTTATTCAACATTGTACCGAAGGTCCTACCAGTGGAATAAGGCAAGAAAAAGAAAGAAAAAGCATGAAGACAAGACATTAAACTGTCTTTATTTGCAGATGACATGTCATATGTAACAATCCAAAAGAATCCACAAAAAAGCTATTAGAATAAGTAAATTTAGCAAAATCATAGGACACAAAGAGAAAAATCAATTCTGGTTTTATAGAGTAGCAGAGAATAATTATAAAATTTACAATACCATCAAAAATATATAGTAATAAATTTAGTGAAACATTTTTAATACCTGTGCACTGAAAGCAATAAAACATTGCAAAGAAAATTAAGGGACAACTATATTAGTGGAACAATATACCATGTCCATGAACTGGAAGACTCAATACTGTTAAGATTGCCCAAATGGATGCATAGATTGAGGCAATCCCAATCAAAATTCTAGTGAGATTTTTTTTAAAGAAATTAACAAGCTGATGCTAAAATTAATATAGAAAGGCAAAAGACTTGGAACAGACAAAACTGTCTTGAGAAACAAGAATGAGATGAGAGTACTTAGATTACCTGGTTTCAAGACTTACAAAGTTACAGTAACTAAGACAGTATAACACTAACATAAGGAAGGACATATAGATCAATGGTACAGAATAGAGTCCGGTAATAAACCTCAGCCTCTTATAATCAATTGATTTTGACAAAGGTGTTACAATAAATCAACAGGGAAAAAGACATTGTTTCAGCAAATGGTGCTGGAACTACTATATAACTGTATGGGGTGAGGAGGAGGCTTACTGTTAACTCACACTATTCACAAAAATTAACCCTAAGTGGTTCTGACTTAAACATAATAGCTAAAAACTATTAAACTTCTAGAAGAAAACATAGAATATCATCTCTGTGACTTGGGTGGCAGATTTCTTAAATACAAAAAGCACAAGCCAGAAAGAAAAACTTGAAAAGGCAGGTCATCAAAATTTAAAACTTTTGCTCTTTGAAAAATAGTTAAGAAGATACACCACAGGCAGGGAGAAAATACTTGCAAAGATATATTGGAAAGAGAGATTATATACAGAATATATAAAACACTCTTAAAATTCCAATAAGAATACGTATAAAAGAACAAACAACCCAATTTAAAATTGGGCAAATATGTGAACAAACATTTCACAAAAGAAGATATATGAATGGGCAAAAAGCACACAACCATTGTCAGGGAAATGCAAATTAAAACCACAATGAGACACTATTATTAGATACCCAGTAGAATGGCTAAAGTTAAGAAGACAATATCAAATCATGATGCAGATGTGGAGCAAATGAAACCCTCACACATTGCTAATGAGAATGAAAAATGGTACACTTTGTAAAACAGTATAGCAGTATCCTATAATATTAAACATACATTTCTCATATGACCCAGCAATCTTAGGTATTTACCCATGAGAAATAAAAATTTAAGTAGATACAAAGACTTGTCTGCAAATGTTCATAGCACCATAATTCATAATAGCCCCAAAACTGAAAGTGGAATTCAAATGTCCATCACACAGTGACTAGATAAAATATGGTAAAGTCATACTATGGAATACTATGCAGCAATAAAAAGGGACAAAATATTAATATACATGATATATTTGAATGTCAAAAACATTATGCTATGCAAAGTCAAACACAAAAGACTACTTATTGTATGATTCCATTTATAAAGAAATCTAAAAGAGACAAACTACAGTGACAGAAACCATGGTTCCTGGGTCAAGAGACAGGGAAAGGGATCAAAGAGCATGAGGAAATTATTTGGAGTGAAGGAAGTGTTCTCTATCTTGAATGTGGTGATAGTTACATGGCTGTGAATAACTTAATTCATCAAACTATATACTAAAAAAAAAAAAAAGATATTTGCAACTCTCTCAGAGACAAGGAGCTCATTTTTCTAAAATACAAAGAGCTCTTAAAAAAAAAAAAAAAAATCAATGAGAAAATAAAAAGAGCCAAGAAATGAACAGGTCATTACAGAACGAGATGACTAAATAGCTCTTAAATAAATTTAAGCAATGCCTAATTGTACTGATATGAGAATGTTAAATTATACTGAAAAACCATTTTTCACCTACAGAATTGCTAAGAATTCAAAAGGCTGGTAAATTATCCTGTGAAGGCAATATGGAAACACTCCCAAAGAGCTGATGGACAGGTAAACTGACATAATCCTTACCAAGAATAATTTGGCAGTATCTATAAAAGTTTATCCTTTCCCCAATAGTAATTCCACTCTGGAAATTTATCTTATATATATATACTTGCAGACATGTAAAAAAACTTATGTATGTCGTTAATCTATATGGAATTAATTTTAATAGCTGATGATGACAACTCAAATGACTTTCAGTGGTGGACAGAATGGTCAAATAAATTATGATACAGTATGATACATTCAAAAAATAAAATATTATGCATCTATAAAAAAATTAGAATTTTCTGTATGCTGATTTGAAAATAGCTATAAAATACATTGTTAAATGAAGATAAAAAGGCAGGAACAGAACAGTAAGGGTGGTATGGCACATCCAAAGTAAATAAAGGGGGATAAGAATTTTTAAGTTCATAATTGTTTGTATATGCATACAGAAACTTTGAAAATATACGCAAAACTAGTAAGAATTGCTACTTAGCGTGAAGAACAAGAGGACAGATCACAGAATTGAAACAGAAGACATTTTAATTCCTTTTTCTAGACGATGTGCATACATTACCTCTTCAAAAAGATTAGATGAATTAATTCAAATAAAGTTTGGTATGAAAAGTAACTAAGAGAATAGGAATAGACACATTAAAGTGATATGCAAAGACAGATCACAAACTTGGGGACAATATTTACAATTCAAGTAACTAAAGGATTAATGTCAAAAATACATAAAGAACTCAATCAGTAAAGAGAAAAACTAATAATCCAAATGGTGAGGAGAAAATGAACAAAATGTACATATATATCACTGATAATCACACAATAGTCAACAAACATAAGACAACACTAAACTTCATTAATAATTATGGGAATAAAAACTAAAATACTCATGAGATATATTACCTCAAGAGTAAAAATTCAAGTCTAACATTATGAGCTGTTGGCAAAGACCTAGATCAGGGTGGGTGGGATGTAAAGTAGTAAATCACTCTGTAAACTGCTTTGGCATCATCTACTGAAACTATGTAATAGGTATACATAACAATCTTTACAGCAGCACTCACTTTATTAGCAAAAAAACAGAAAAAACACAAATATCTACTGACAAAAAAATGCATAAATAAATTTGGTATATTCTAACTATAGGGAACAGTGGCAATGCAAATGAAGGGAATATAGCCACAGCATCAACACACACTCTCATAAGTGCAATACTGAAAGAAAAAAAAATAATAAAGCAAGTTGTAGAGGAATAATTGCATATATATATATATATATATGCAGTAATACTATGAATAATAAAAGGCACCAACTAATAAACACAAAATTCAAGTTTACAAGTATTTTCTGCTGGTAGGAAGGACAGATGTGGACAGAGAACAATGGGAACAACACAGATACCTATACTGACCTATTCTTTAAGCTTGTGTGATGGTGCTGTTATTGCTAGTCACTATGTTTCAATATATGTAAATAACCTTTTGTATGTATTTAATGCTTAATAATTCAAAACTCTACTGAAAGAAGAAATCAATCATGAAAAGATTAAAGGCTGCAAAAAATACTGTGCCTCAATTTAATTTATAAATAATGAAATCTTAATAAGAGAAAACATTTGAAGTAGATAAGGTTAACTACTAAACAATTGTTTTTAAAAAGAGTTTAGATAGGAAATCACTGAGAGTGTGACTCTCATCCTCTACCATTCCCTTTCCAAAACTATCAAAGGAAGAAACATAAAAGAAAAAAAAAAACCATTCTGGAACTATAATTAAAGTGTCTCCTATTAGAAATATATAAAGCCACTTCCATTCTCATACTCATTTCATTTTTTTAAAATGTGAAATATGTATTTACTTAATTTTATTCCCTGCTATGTTCCTGAAAGGATTTAAAGGGACATACAGCAATAAATAAATCCTCCTTCAATAAACGATTAAAGAAAAATAATGAGGAAATTGAGGAATTAGAATATAAGAATAAACCAAAGCCATGGTGAAGGCTAATACACAAATGCAAAACCATAATGAGGTCTTCTACAATTTTTTATTGGATAAAACTGGGCTCTGAATTTACAGTCAACTATAGCAAAGAAGGAAACATGATTAGTTAAAAGACAGTTACAAGTTAATGAACTGTACTCAAATACCATTATCGGCTTTTCTTGAAACTGATTCCAGAGAACTGGAAGGAGAACTGAAAATTGACTATCAAGCAACCAAAATACCCAGAAGGTTAATAAAATTAATGGCTTATTAGAGGACGAGGATTTGGGGGAATACATAAAAACAATTAGCAGCAAAATTATTAAAGTGACTAACGAAACTACCTAAGATTCAACATAATACCATATACAGATTATATAAAATGTACTGACCTTCCTGAATTGCCTTATCCACAGTTATCCCAGAAGGTGAATGTAGAAGCTTTTGGTAAGTCTGAGCATTTTGGTCAAACAACTGTACAAGAAGAGTGCACGTCTTTTCATATTCACATCTGCTGACCGTGCACAACTGCTCCAGCTGCTGGAACACAGTGGCAGTATCATCCAGTGGATCATCTAAATTATCTCTGCAGATATAGAAGAACAAGTGTGCGCGACAACATTAGAATATGACATGCTTTTATTCACCACAAATACATTTTATGTTAAATAAAAATCCTATCATGGATAAAGAAACAAAAGACAAACAGATTGGAAGGTAAGAAATAAAACATAAATGAAAATTCTGTATTTGAAGACAACATGATTATATACACAAAAGTCCCAAAGAAACCACACACAAAAAAAGCTACTACCTCTTACAGATGAGTTTACCAAGGTCCTAGCATACAGGGTCAATACACAAAATTCAACTGTATCATTATATACTAGCCACGAACAACTGGAAATTGACATTTAAAAAACTGCACCTTCCAAAGGCACCAGAAAAATCTAATTAATTAAACCTAATTAAACATACATAAAATCTGAAGGCTGAATACCATACAACAGTGAGGAAAGAAATCACCAAAGAACTAAATAAATTAAAAGATAAACATGCTCACTGACTAAAGACTTGATCTGCTGAGATGTCACTTCTTCCCCCAAAAAATTAATCTACAAATTTAAAACAATCCCAGTCAAAATTCCAGCAGGATTTTTTGGTAGAAACTGACAAAAATGAATCCAAAATTTACATGCAAAAGCAAAGGAAGTAAAAGAGCTAAAACAATTGTGAAAAGGGAAAACCAAGGCAAAAGACTCACTACCTGATTTCAAAGCTATTAAAGCTACAGTATTCAAGACAAGGTACTGGTAGAAGGAGAAACACATAGATTAATGAAAAGAGCACCCAGAAAGCACATGTATGTGGTCAATTAATTTTTGAAAAGTATAAAGGCAATGCAATGGAGAGAACTTAGTCTTTTCAACAAATGGTGTTGGAATAATTGGTCAGCCATAAAAAACCAAAAAAGCAAAAACAAAAAATAAAAAACCAACTTCAAGCCTTAACTCATATCATATACAAAAATTAACTCAAAATGGATCAGAGAAGTAAATGTAAATTCTAAACCTATAAAACTTCTAGAAGAAAAAATAAAGAATAAATCAGACTTCATTAAACTCTAAAACTTCTGCTCTTTGAAAAAGACTGTCAGGGAAATGAAAAGGCAAGCTATGGATGGAGAGGTAATATTTACAAAACACATACAATAAAAAGACTTGTGACCAGAATATATAGACCTTTCAAATCTCAATAAACAACCCAATTAAAAAAGAGGGGGCAACAAATTTAACAGGCACTTTGCCAAACAATACAAATGGTAAACAAGCATGTAAAATGATGCTCAACATTACTGGTCATCAAGGGAATGCAAATTAAATCCAAAATGAGGTCCCACCACACACCTATTAGAATAACTAAAATTAAACTGACAATATCAAGTACTGATGAGGATAAAGAGCAATTGGATCTCTCATACATTGCTAGTGGGAATGCAAAATGATACAGCCACTTTGAAAAATAGTTTGGCAGTTTCTCTTAAAGTAAAACATATACTTACCATTCAACCCAGAAATCTCCCACCTAATCTATTTACCCAAGAGAAATAAAAACTTATCTTCCTATAAAAATCTGTTCAGGAATGTTTACAGCTATTTTATTCATAATTGACAAAAACAGAAACAACCCAAATGTCCATCAACAGGTGAATGGATAAATAAACTGTGATACATCCGTAAAATGAAATATTATTCAGCAATAAATTTTAAGAACTCCTGACGCAACATGGAGGAATCTCAAATGCATTACGCTAAGTGAAAGAAGCTGGGCTACATACCATATGATTTCATCTAGACAACATTCTGAAAAGGCAAAAACTACAGGAAAACAAAAAATCAGTAATTGCCAGAGGCTGAGGGTGGGGAAAGGGCTGACTACAAGGAACACAAAAGAATTTTCTGGGTTGATTGAACTATTCTCTATCCTAACTGTAAGGGTAGTTCTACAAATGTATGCCCTTATCAGAAGTCACAGACCTGTTCACTAAAAAGGGTGATTTTACACTAGGTAAATTATACCTCAAATGTTTTAAATTCCAAGATGCAAAAGATAAAAACACAACAGAAACATTTAGTTTTCAATACCTCACAACTATGGCAACAGATTCCAACCGAGAAGTGATAAAGGCCTTCGTGATTTCTGGTGCATAAGTGTCTAATAAGTGGGGTTCAGTTGATTTCACAAAAGGCACTGATGCTACCATCCTTTGCCACAGAGTTAATAAATAATGAATACTGTTGGGAGCAAATTCCCAATGCTACAAAGAAATAAAGCAAACGTTATTTAAAATGACATATCTTCCTAGAATAAGAATTACAAAAACAAAATCACTAAAAAGATTTTTTTTACAAATTACTAAACACAGGCTTTAAAATTAATTTTATTCTAATTATATAGCCAATGAACATTTAACATAGCAAATTTTGTAAATGCAAAAAGGCATAAAGAAGAAACCAACAATCTCTCATTATTGTAATGTTAAAATGTTAGTGTACTTCCTTCTAATCTTCTTTCCATGAATATTTTTCAGAGTTGATATCATGTAGAAAATGTGGTTTTAAAACCTCCCCCCAAACTTATAAAAAGAATTTTTCAAAAAAAATCTGTAAAAAGTCTTTTTTATTTCTTCACAAAGATTTTATTATAGCTTCTCAATTCATTCTTCAATGATTAGATATTCAGATAGTCTCTAAATTTTTATTATAAAATATGTTCCAATGAAATTTTACCTAAAACCCTGGAATAAGTATTTTCAGCAAAGTACAGTAACAAATACTAAAAATCCCCACCAAATCTTATCAAGAAATTGTTTCAAAATTATCTACTGTTTAACATCAATTATATACTTTTATTTACCTGTAGGCTAGTAATGGTAAAGTTAGCAATCAATCTGATAACTTCAGGATATTCCTTCACCAAAACTAATTCTCCCAGCTGATAATTTGTCTTTAAACGAGCCAAAAATCGGCAAAATTCATGATAATTACCTGGATCAGACAAACCCTAAATTATAAGACAAAAAGAAAGGCTTTTAAAAAATACTTAAAAACAAACCAAGCTAATGACCTATCAATAAAATTCCAAGAGTATTTTATTAAGTTTTCCAGTTTTCACTGGTACTCTGTATCAACTGGGTAGATTATTAATGAAAGAAAACAAATGATTCCTGCTGGATTTAATGCTGTCATCAATGATTCATAATAAGAAATTCAAAGTAGAGGATGTAGAAGAAGCTTTGCACTGTGATGACTAAGTTATGCTTGGGAACCCACTGTATTACACAAAAAATTTGCATGTGTGTGTGTATGCGTGGGTATGCGTGTGAACGCGTGTGTGCATGCACTGCAGCTTAAACAGAAGTCAACAGAAAACTTGAGAAATATTTAAGATGAAAATTCAGAATGGGTTCTTGAAGCCCTGGAAAAGAGTGATACCAACTGAACTGAAGTTAAGATGGTATTTGTGCACACAAATAGAAATTTCTTTTAATTCAACAAATACTTATTGAGCACCTACAGACTTTGTGCCCTCAAGAAACTCCTGGTCCCTAAGTAGAGTCATTCAAATAAATTAATGCAATGTAGGACAGTAAGTTTAAAAGAAGTACTACAAGACACAGAGGTAAACTTGAGGAAGGAAAGGTTTAAAAGGAAAGACCAAGAAAGAGGCCCCTAGTTGTCTATGAGAGCTCCTTGAAGACTGGGCACAAGTGCTTTCTTTACAAAAGTTTGAACACTGTGCATTGTAGATGGCATGAAAGAGAATTCAAAAGTATCTGTTTAATACTGAAAGAGTTTCTAAGAAATTTCATTCACATGAACACCATGAAAATATAAAATAGTGTCTAATTATTAAGGACAAATTACAAAAAGATCCTTCATACTCATAGGTCTTTTAATATGTTTGTAATTCTAAAATAATAGAATATTCAAACTAACTTTTACAGACACGAAACATGAACGTGAGGATGCTGGAAACCCAATTAAGACGATTATTTGGCATCAGCATATTATTTTCCACATACTGATTGATAGTGACTTAAACAACTAAATATTTTAAAGTATATTAGTAAAATCCCATTTATCAACAAAACATGTACATTTCATGATTGTGCTAACATTGAAAAGATAAAATAAAAGCATAACACACAAAATACTAAAATACTCCTGAGAATGACCTACAAAATCAATTGCTCCTTATTGAGCAAGCACATTTTCTTTATGTACAGATATTATATGTCCCTCAAAAGTTAGTAATAACTAAGAGACAGATAAATCTCCTTAAACCATTTAACCTCTTAAAATCTGTACTTTCATTATTACATATATTTTAAACCAAAAACAAAATAAGAAGTAAAACAAAAAATTTTATCTAGGCAGCCAAAATCACTAATCATGGCTTTGCAATTCTCTGAAATGAATATTGCTATCGAAGCTTTGCAAGTTAATGTACAGATTTTTAAATCTACAAACTCTTATTTGTCCACAAGAGGGCAAAAAGACATTATCTCATAATTCAAAGCCACTTAATCTAATATTAACATTCAGATTTATATTAAGTCTTCTAGTTCAGAAGGTAGCTATGACTCTGAAGTAATTAGTAATTTAAGAAGTACAAGCAAAGAAATGCAGTACACAATGGTATAAAGCAGAAGCATCGTAAGATATATACCTTCTGTTCTTACTCACCTAAAAGAATGGAAAAAAATAAAAAAGGAAGAACATAGAAGTCTGTCAGGAAAGCATCTATTTTTAAAAACTGTCCATTTCTACTACAAATGAGATCTAAGGAAGATGGATATGATACTTCATATTTCCTTCCAGAATCATAATCAAGTCATGAGTTTATTACACCTTTCAGCAGAAAAACTGTATTTCTACATACTAAGTATTAATTAAATTACTTCATAAATACCTGAGGGTTTTCAAGTATCCTTTTTACTCCCTTAATTAAATTACCAAGGTACTTGGCACGTTCAGGACTGCTAAATAAGGACCTTCTTGTAGAAGCAAACTGAACTAAACATGAAAGTGCCTAAAAATAGGAACAACAAAATTCATTTCAATTTTAAAAGTAACTATGGCCACATGTAAGGAACACTGTCTTTACATAAAAAAATTTCTTTTTAATTTTAATGATAGAAAAGTATTATAGAATCCAGAAATAATGAAAGCTACACATCATCAATCACCAACACCACCCATCTCTCTTTAACCCCACCACTAAAATTTCTATTCGTGTATATTCTCTTCTAATATATTTTCATATATTTAATATGCCAAAGCAACCTAGACATGCATACACTCAAAAGGCTCCCAATTGCTTCTGTTGCCCAGCTCTGTTCATGAACCAATATGTTCTACAAAAAATAAAAGATGGTTTTGTGGTAGAATATGTTTGGGAAATACTGTACATTACGTACGGTGGTACCCTGCAAGTGGGAAAACTTTAGTGTAACTTGGTATAACTTTACTTAATCCAGCATATCCCAAATTTATGTGGTGACAGTACATCTTATCCATACCATCCATGAATAAGTTAAGGCACAATTTGGAGAATGCTGCTAGAAACATTAGATATTCTACAAAAATGGTCTAGTTATCTTCTAAAAGTTAATACTTTACCAGACAATTTCACTACTTGGGTTCTTAATTCTACTACTGAAAACCATTGAAGTCTGTCTGATCATTAAGTGAGAGGTCCACAATTGACAGCTTTTCAGGCCAAACGGGTCCACAAAGGTTTTGTTTTGGCCCACATGTTTGTTTGCCCGCTTCGTAAAAAAAATTAGAATTGGTTGTTAATATTTAAATATTTTAATTAAGATATATTACATAATGTCTGGCTTTCTTAGCAAAGGTGAGAACAGTGACAAGAATCAGAGGATGGCCTTTTAGATGTTCTCCAGTTTGCCACAGTGCTTACTATTGGGGAAAAAAAAAAAAAACAAATGAACAAACAATTCCTTAGGCAATTCTGATGTGTTGAAGGTTTGGGAACTACTAGTGTATTAAAAATATCCAGGGTTTGAGGGCCAAAAACATCTGGGTTTGAATCTCAGCTTCATTATTTAGTTTGCTGCCTTAATGAAATTCATTTTAGCCAGTCTGGGTCTGTTTCCTTGTCAACATAGAGAGGATAATAATACTTACCTTGCAGGGCCACTTTGAGGATGAAGGGAGATAAGCACCATATAATAGGGCAGGCCCAATAAATGTTAGTTACTTTCTCTTAAAGCAGTTATTTTCCACTTAATTTTTTAAGCGCCAGTAGCTTGTTTTATTGCAAAACATAACTGTACCTGAAACCATGGTTTTTAAATAACTAAAAATAAAACTATTCTGGTTAAAAGACAGAAGGCTAAAACTCTGGCACCACCTGGAAGCATGAGTATCCTGTGAAACCCAGTTTAAAACCACCTCAGGGCGCCTGGGTGGCTCAGTCAGTTAAGCGGCTGTCTTCGGCTCAGGTCATGATCCCAGGGTCCTGGGATCGAGTCCCACATCGGGCTCCCTGCTTGGCAGGGAGTCTGCTTCCCCTCCTCCCACTCCCCCTGCTTGTGTTCCTGCTCTCACTATCTCTGTCTCTGTCAAATAAATAAATAAAAATCTTAAAAAAAAAAATAAAACCACCACCTTAAATCCCTAGATTGGAGAGCAGACATGTTTTTAAAAAAAAAAGAAGGGGAGAGAGTATTTTTGTAAATCTATTCCTCCCTTCTAGGCAATAACATATCTAAACAAACACACCACTCTAATGTACTTTAAATCTGGAACATCTTTTTTCAGGAAATGGCAATATCAGAATTCTCCAACTTTACTTTTAGAAGCTTAGATATTAAACTGACAACTTTTTCTTTTTTTTTTCCCAATCTCACCTGGTCTCTGTTTTAGGTTCCACAAAGATGGAGTTCACATTCTCAAAGTTACTATATAACCAAAGAGTTTAAAGATTTTTAAAGCACACAAAAGAATTTAATTCAAAAAATAAATGAACAACTGGAGTGATGAACACAAAATCAAATGAGCAGATCCCCTTTGTTTCTCATTCAGAGATACTGATGGGAGCTGCCTGGCAAGCCTAGGGCATGGAGGGTTGAGGAAGAGTTAGAAACAGGGTAGGAAAAGGAAAGGTAACAGATGGTGTGGACAACTACTGGACTGAGACCCAGAAGAAGGGATGGGGACTGGGTGGAAAGGAAGGTGCACTTAGAGGTTAACAGGTTTTCCTGGCTCTGGGCAAGAGCTATGAATCAACAGCTAAAGGTTCTGGGTTCACCCATGAAATGGAATCCACTGGTGACTATAAATAGAATCTGACAAATAGCTTAAGCAACATAAATCCCAGGAGATGTAAGAAAGAATTTCTTGTGAGAGGTAAATCCAATCAAGATTATAAATTGGACTTTTTACAATAAATATATACCACCCTTAGATAAAGATTGCAGGTACTTTTTAATGAAATAATGAATGATTTTTACTTACTAACTGAGATAGTAGTGGTGGAAGTGAATGATATAAACTGAAGAAAAGATCCAATGTTTCTGGTTCCAGGAAAACTGGAAAAAAAAAATATTTGCTAATACCATTACTTCCAATCAGTGATCTTAATGTAATCAGTAAGACATTCATTAACATACAAACAAGAACTCCAAGACCTCTGCATGTGGCCACTCTTATCAGTTAGGCTTAATTCCTTTTTAATTCCTAGCTACCTTCCTTTGAAAGATGAAAATACAGATAGAAACTAATTAGCTAAAATGTTCCTTATTTCTATGTAGCATCTACAGTTCTTACTGAGAGAATCTTCTTACCATTTTCATTTGTATTAAAGTACTATGAGCATTTAAAAATTCAAACAGTATCAAAAAGTAAACATTATTAAAAAGTGTATAATAAAACACAGCTGTACCTTACCCCATTCCAAGTACCTTTCAACTCTTATCTACACTTACATACATATTTCCAAATAACATGCTATATGACTATTTCTTTGTTTGTTTTACCTTAAACATCAAATGAATTTCTGATATACTACATGAGGCTTTAGTACATACCACAATCTGTCCTCTCTCAAAATCCACCCACTATTTTAACAATTTGAGATTAAATCAATTCTAAGTGTTCACATTTATTATGGCTATGTAAGTAATGTTAACAGCTGAGCCAAGGAGGACAATATGATCATACTACATTTCTAACACTCTCTGAATCTAATCATAGCATCTTTTCTGTGTTTAGTTGTCTGTCACTAATTCTTTCCAAAAGCTCTGACAGATTTGTAAAATGTTCTTTATACCATTGTCCACATGATCAATAGCATCAAATAACCTATAATTTCCACTTCTCCCTCCCACCTCCTAAAGCCTTCAACTTGGGACTGATTGTTCCTAAATTTGTTATATAATGATTTCTTTTTATGTGTCTGTTCACTGCCATTTTGTGTTGAACCTTCCTTTTCACAAACCCCTTATCTGCCATGGTTTTTGTATCAAGTAACTTTCTGAGAGCAAGCACATAAAGGGATAAATTCCAGGAGGATGGGCATGTCTGAAAATGTCTTAATTCTACCTTATGCTTGATAATTTCAGTCTAGTTTGAAAATTATTACCCTTCAGAAGTTTGGGGATACTACTCCATTGTCTTCTAGCTTCCAGTACTGATGCTGAGAAGTCTAATACCATTCTTGACCCCAATCCTTTGTAGGTGATTTACTTCTCCTTTCTGGTAGATTTGAGGATCTTCCTCTTATCAGTATTACTCTGAAGTGATTATGATTATGAAGCTTAGTATTTACTTTTTTTCATTCATTACTATGTGCACTTGATGGGATCTTTCAATCTGAAATTTTATGTCTCAGGGCTGAGAAAGTGTTATTTGTTTGCAAATTTTCTTCTGTTTTTTTCTATCCTCTTTCTCAAACTCCTAGTAGTCAGATGCCCAGCTCTCCTAATTTCATGCTTTAATATTCTTGTATTTTTTTCTCCTATCAAATCTCTTCTTGCTTTTTTATTCTACTTTCTGGGACATTTCCTTAACTTTACCTTCCAACTCTTTTATTAAATGTTTTATCTGGCAACTGTCTTTTATATTTGGAACACTCTCTGAACTTTTTTTTTAAAACAATATCTTATTCTGGGACACCTGTGTGGTCCAGCTGATTAAGCGTCTGACTTGATTTTGGCTCAGATCATGATCTCAGTGTCATGAGATTGAGCCTCATGTAGGGCTCCACGCTTGGTGGGGAGTCTGCTTGAGATTTTCTCTTCTCCTTCTCCCTTTACCCCTCCCCACCACGAGCTCGTTCTCTCTCTCTCAAATAAATAAATCTTAAAAAACAAAACAATATCCTAATTCTTGTTTCAGGGATGTGTTACCTTTTCTTATCTCCCTGGGGATATTAACTATACTTTTTTGAAGATTACTTCTACTTTTCACTTTGTCTCTGTTTCTACTAAACCCTCCCTTTAAAAAAAAAAAAAAAAAAGCTTCTTGAGATAATTATACATGCATATGCAGTTGCAAGAAATAATACAAAGAGACCCCATGCACCCATTACTTAGTTTCCTCCAATGGTAAATTCTTGCAAAACTACAGTACAATATCACAATCAGGAAATCACACTGATAAAATCCATCAATCTTATTCATATTTCCCATTTTTACATGCACTCATGTGTATGTATGGGTGTGTGTCTGTGTGTGTGTATAGGTAGTCTGTGTAATTTTTATTGCATGTGTTGGCTCATGTATTCATCATGATACTAATACTAAGTCCCTTTTGTTTGTTTTAGTCTCTGATTTCTATATCAGAAGTTTTCACAAAATCTGTGGTATTTCCCTACTATATCTGATATCCCTAGATATCCAGTTCAATTTCTCGAGGACAAAAAGGGCTGGTATTGGGAAGTAAGAGGGAAGGGCACAAGGGAAGAGAAGAGAAAAGGCACAGGTGGTAGAGAAGATCCTGGGGACTTTGGGCAGAATACAGACTTTTTTACCAAGCCCTTTCAGCCCTATTCCTTACCTCACCTCTGACTGCAGGAATACCCTAGTGCCATCAACTTTCTGAAATGTGTGAGAGCAAATCAGCTTGCTTTTCTTCTTGGTATCCTTCTCTGTAAGAAAGTTGCAATTCTGCTCTGCTAAGTCAGTTACTCTAATTCATTCTCTTTCTAACTTTGAAAAGTATGTTTTCGGTCAGTGTTATATCCTCTCCCACTCTATTTATCTGAAACTTTCAAAACAGAACTCTTCATTTTCCCTCCCAAACCTGTTTTCCCCCTAACTCTAGAGCTATATTTCCTATTTTCCAATATCAAAATATGGAAGCTCCCATGATATGAAGGAAAGCAGATTTCAATACTAGGTATCAGCAGCTACCTCGTGTTACAAATCTTTTTGAATTTGATTACCCAGCAAAAACTAGAGGTAACTGCACATATGACAACCATATTAATTCTGTGCCTTTTACTCTAACCATCCCTCATACTAAACTTTCTTCTTACTTGTTCTCCAGGTTGTTGGAATCTGCACTGTGCAAAGATCATCTGCAGATTCGTCTGCTGAACTGCCAATGAAGTCAAAGTTAAGGCAGTTGAGGACCAGTTTCAAGACCTGCATTACTAGATTTTGTTGACCTTCATCCTGAAGATTTAAAGGTTTGGCCAATACCTGAAAAAAGTTGAAAGTCAAATAAAACATTATGAAATATGTCAATAAACAAATTTTCACTTCACTAAATTATTCTTCAATGCTAAATTAGAATTAGGAAGTTTGCAAAGTTATGTTGTTGTATATATTAGAAAAAGTTGTAAAATCACTATCAACAAAAATCTACAATAGGCTATTTTCGAATTTTATTTTCTAAGATGAGAATAAGACCTTTGATACTTGACTGCAAATTATAGGTCATCTTCTAAAGTTAAAAAAAGTAACTTTAGGGGTGCCTGGGTGGCTCAGTTGGTTAAGCGACTGCCTTCGGCTTAGGTCATGATCCCGGAGTCCCTGGATCGAGTCCCGCATCCGGCTCTCTGCTCGGCAGGGAGTCTGCTTCTCCCTCTGACCCTCCCCCCTCTCATGTGCTCTCTCTCATTCTCTCTCTCACAAATAAATAAATAAAATCTTTAAAAAAAAAAAAAAGTAACTTTAGGACAAATATTTTACTCAGCACAAATGTATAAATCTATTGGATTTATTAGCTCAAAGGCTGCTTAGAACAAGCTGAAAATATAATATTCTTCAAGTGGGGGAACTTTATGTGTAAATGATCCATATTCAGTTAACAAAGGTTGTCAGAGCTGTCTGAATGAAGGAGGACACTCACAAACTTCTAGAGAACAATCCTGACCACACACCCCCTCCGCCCCCACAAAATGTCCATTCTGACACAATCAGAATAGATTATTATCTCCTAAAGACACATTGTGAAATATCTGTAGAGGAAGTGATACGAAGTTTGGGATTCTGCTTCAAGAATAACACAAAAAGAAAGAGTTGTTTGAAAAGTACAAAGATGAAAAGAGACTGGTCATGAGTAGTTACTGCTTAACTGGTGGATGGGTCCAAGGGACTTCATTATACTCTTCCACCTTCTTTTGCATATGTTAAAATTTTCCATACAAAAGGAAAATTTAAAAAATACTAGAGGGTCTTTATTGGCCTTAACTTGGCCCACTGCGGCAGTTAACCTGTTCCTAACTATACCAGAGAACTGAAATAATTAGAAACCGTACTTAGTGGAACATACTTTAGGAAATGCTATACTACGCCAATTAAAAAGCTTGAACAGCATGATGGAATCCCTATATTACAAGCAAACACAATATAATTATTAATTGTATTATCCCTAATGTTCAATAGGTCACCAAGTAGCAAATGGGAAAATATTATTTCCCAAAGAAATTATTAAAGTTAACTGTCTTGGCTCACCTATGAATATTGATAATTGATGAATTAGGAAAACTTACTGTCATTTCATTGTTCATCTGCATTCCATTAAAATACAGGCAACTAAAATAAAGAAACTAAGTCTCAATTAGCTTCTGTAATAAATAATCTATAGTAGTAGCAGGAAGGCAATGAAACTACTACTTAAAGATGAGTTACTGAATTCCCTTTGGATTTTGTTTTATTATATCTCTGGTAAATAAAAGTGAATTTTTTGGAACCTCTTACAGACTTGTGGAAATCTACTGTACTTAAATTAAGATTGTTCACAATAACTCTTTAAAAGGCAGAATGGGGGTTAGAGAAGGGAGATTCATTTGAAATTATTTTGAAACTTAAAATTTCCTAAATACTCTAAGTAGGATACTGAATTATTAAATAACTTACCTCTTTTAGAAGAGAGCATGCTAGCACTAAAATGTCTTTGAGAGAACTGTCACGAAATGAGGTAGCTATTTTCCTGTGTTTTGCTGAAGGTCTAGAATAATCAACCTAAAAAGACCAAGATGAATTTATTTAACCAGACTTAGCAAATAACAAAGCAAAAATTTACTAAGAAAAGGAATGGAAGTAACGATTAAAGAAGCATCAAGTCCAGAGTTAAGCGAGCTTTTAAAAATCTACTGGGATAAGTGCCTTGTTTAATGTTACTCAAAGAGTTAATGTCAGACCCATTGGCAGAACCCAAGTTTCTGGATTGTTTCAATTCACTGCTCTTCCTAACTATACCAATCCCAAAATTAAAAACCAGAACTGATCATACTTTCAGAGGCAATATGAACACAGATTATAAAATCATAGGTGGATCCTAAGACTATCAACTCCTGTACCATGTACTATTTCACATTAGGCAATTAACAACTTCCCTGTTCCTCAGATTCCTCCTGTAAAACAAGAATCCCTAAGATAATCTTCAAATTCTAAACTCTCTGAGAATGAGTTAATAATCAATTACAGAAAAATTCTTCATACAAAAGTAGTATTTCTATACCAGAAATTTCATTGGTTCACATACCCTCGGTGTTTTAAAAAGAAACCAAGGCAGAAATAAAATAACCAGAAATCTTATTATATAAGCAATAGTACATTCCCTCTGAATATTAGTTATTGATTGATAACTGTTAAGAATAAATTTATGAAAAGTAGTTCTTGAGCCTCTAATCTAAAATGTGATATGGTCAAAACTATACTATTAATGCCATTAATACTTCCATTTATCAGCAGCGAACAGCAAACAAAGCTGAAGTCTGATACCCAAATGACTTTTAACACCATGGGCTACAGTTGCTACAGCATTCCTTTTGCTATTTGGAAGGAGAAAATAAACCATTTTCTTTGTTAATGCTTATATATTTAAGAAAAAGCAGTGAGTTCAAAATTGATTATCTGATACTTCCTAAGCTCCATCATACAATTTAGACTATACTTAAATGTCGCATTTACTTATAGAAACATGAAACATAACAGAAGTGATTACAGAAAGTAGTTACTGGAATCTGTAACCAATATGTAAGATTCAAATTAGGATTTCCAGCATTCTTCCCTTTTAAATCAAACTTCAGTCTGTCTCTCTCATAGTATCTCCCTCAATATATAAAAACTTTTCCTTAATACAAATTAATAATAGCATACAGGATTTTGTTCTGTTTAGAACCATGATAAGTACAAAAGTGAACAGAAACAGGTGACAATGTGCTCAGTTGCTGAGCTCATAAAAGCACTGTTTGGGGGAAGCATAGCTTCTGGAAACTCTCCTTGTACAGAGTGAAAATCCATGCTAGCAAGTGGCCAAGTGCCAAGGGGCCTGTTCTTTGAGGAGTCCTGCTGTGTACCCATTGTTGAGAATCCATTCACCTGCTTGTCTTTTATTATTTGTAAGCAAATAAAGGTTTGTTTCTCTTCATATAATTTATTTCTTATGGCTAGTGTATTACTATATAGAGAGGATAAAAGGACACTTCACCAATTGTCATGGAGAAAGGACCATGTCTAATTCCCTCTTCCTTTTAGTACTTTACACTATTTCAATAACAGTAAGTGTTCCAATACCCAATTATCCCACCAATAAAATACACAAAAGACTTGATTATTCAGTTTTATGCCACACAAACATTTTATATCAAAGAATTCAACATTACTTAGCAAACTTCACGTCACTATTAGATGGAAGCCTTACCAGGTTCATTTCCTGAGTCAACTCGGAAAGGATTATTACTCCTATTACGCAGTGCTCCACAGTACCCTATGGAGAAAACAACCAAGTGTACCCTAAGTAGAGACATATTATTGGTTCTTGATGTGTAAACAAATAATTAAATACTGAAACATCACATATTCTTAATAATGTATCTACTAAAATATGTGGAAAAATTATTATGAGGTCTACAAAAATAATGTCAAGTTCATTTTTTGAAGGATAAATTTAGGTACACACAGAGTGGTGTGGGAAAAAAGCTCACCTACCTTAGAACTGCACAATACTCTACAAAATGTTTATAGCACCTAGGACTTATAATAAACTAAACCTTAAAATACAAGAGTTTAATACTTTTCATGAGACTATGCATAAGAATGAACAAAAAATGCTTTTTAGTTCTATAAATTTGCTTAGAGCTGAACTCAATAAATAATTAATAAATTGCTTAGGAACGAATCTAAATCCCTCAATCTAATATCACATTAGATCACTTAGGCCCTTTTAATATTATTTAATAGTGCATGTGTATGCATTTATTAGGGTATCTAAAATGAAGGCATCTAAAGTGCCCAATGCACCGGGGTAAATAAATACATGACTATCAATATGGTATACAGTTTCATAGCCTCTATAATGTTTTTTGTTTTTTTTTTAAAGATTTTATTTATTTATTTGACAGGGAGAGACAGCCAGAGAGAGAACACAAGCGGGGTAAGTGGGAGAGAGAGAAGCAGGCTTCCCGCCGAGCAAGGAGCCCGATGCGGGGCTCGATCCCAGGACCCTGGGATCATGACCTGAGCCGAAGGCAGACGTTTAACAACTGAGCCACCCAGGCGCCCCAATATAATGTTTTAATTTAATCTCAAAAACTTCCTTCAAATAAAAATTCAGATTTTACATTCACCGTTACTAACAAATCACCCTATTGCAAAATCACACTAGAAGAATAAAAATTAAAAATGTAACATCCAGGGGTGCCTGGGTAGCTCAGTCAGTTGAGTGTCCGACTTTTGATTTCAGCTCAGGTCATGATCTCAAGGTCATAAGATCGAGCCCCGTATCAGGCTCAGTGCTCAGCACAGTCTCCCTGAGATTCTCTCTCTCCCTCTGCCCCTCCCCCACCCACGTGCTCATGCTCCCTCTCAAATCTTTTAAAAAAATAAAGTAACATTCAATTATAGTGTAATCATAAAAAGAAACACTAATAGAGACTACAAATTTTTCATGTCTTAATTTTATAGTTGGTCATTTCTTCTATTTATTATCTTAGGATAAAAAAATAAACAAAAGACACATTCCATAATTTTTGCATTTTAATTCCTTATGGCCGTTCTCAACACTCTCAACTGTTTGAACTGAGCTACAGATTTCCTGTTACTGAAGCTTCCATCCTCTGAGTACACCAGGTCAATGCTCCTCCAAGTGCTGCTCCCTGACCACCTGCTGGTCGTCTGCAAACTCAATGCTAATCTCAGAATGGATTGGTACTGGCTCACGACCGAGGAGATAAAAGAGTTTGCACAAGACTATAAGCCAGCTAAGTCCCTACTAAGTACACTTAGTTCAGCTGGCATTTTTTTCATAGCAAGTCTTCCTCAGTGAAGGAAGCACCACTTTGATTTACATTCTGCTCCTTATCTTGTTGTGAATCAGTAAATTGGATAGCACTGCCATGGATGACAGGAGGCTCTCCTGGGTATGTATGTAGAAAGGAAGCCCATCAATGTTTGTAGTGTGGCAGCAGTAAGACTGCAATAACAGAGAAAAGATGTACAAAACTTCAGGCCATTAAAGATTTAGCAAATTTAAAATAATTTTTAGTACAAAATTCACAGAAGCTGCTAATACCCAAAAGAAGCACGTGGTACTATATTTGAGTACTTAAACATTAAAGTCAGTTGCCTTTCTCATGACTCAGTTAGGTTAAGTCATACCCAGAAAGCAAGTGCTTATTTTTGTGATACTTTGATACACTTTGAAGACAATACATTTTGTTTCTTCTGGTTTTCCGAAATTGACAAAAACACACTAAAGCTCAACTTAAGTTCAACTTACCAGTCACTGGAAAGAGAGCTTAAGAAATGTTAACCAACAAGAATGACTTCATTCCATTCAGTTTTCAACCTTAATTTTATTAAAAAAAAAAACTCTGAAGTCTATTCTTGCCTACACTAATGATTCTTGATGAGCTGTGTGTGATCTTAGTAAATGACAAGAGAGGGTTGCTATTTTGTTAGCCAAACTCTGGAGTGAAGAAGTCATTTGTCTCTGCATAAACTCTCCCACCACCCCAGGGCTGCTCTCCTCAGGGCTAAAAATACATTTATTCCTTATGAAGTTTTAGATGACCAAGTATTTGTTAGCCAGGGTTTTAACAATATGAATAAAAGAGAAGCAGCATTGTCTAGTGTTTCATATTCTGAGGTTTCTAGAATTGCATTACATGGTAGAGTTACATCTTACAGAGGGATTTGCTGCATAAGAGATAAAATCTCAGAATTGGCAAATGCCAATGAAGATGCCTTCATTTTAGATACCCTAATAAATGCATACACATGCACTATTAAATAATATTAAAAGGGCCTAAGTGATCTAATGTGATATTAGATTGAGGGATTTAAACCAATACTGAACCATCTCTCAATCCAAACTGCCAGTTTTTCCTCAAAAACTGTAATAGAGGGGTGCCTGGGTGGCTCAGCCGTTAAGTGTCTGCCTTCGGCTCAGGTCATGATCCCAGGGTCCTGGGACCGAGTCCCACATCAGGCTCCTTGCTCCGCAGGAAGCCTGCTTCTCTCTCTCCCACTCCCCCTGCTTGTGTTCCCTCTCTCGCTGTATCTCTCTCTGTCAAAAAAACAAATAAAATCTTAAAACAAAAAACAAAAAACTGTAATAGATCACTGCTTCTACAGCACAGCACCGGCTAAAGTGCTTTTTTTTTTTTTCATACGTCTGTATGAAAAAATATGTATCTTTAAATATCTGAATCACACTGAGCGCAAGATGGTCATCCTAAGAGGCATGCAGAGACTGGAAACAGCAGATTTAAGTTTGCCACATCATACCTCAGGACATAGAATATTCTGTAGAATGGCAAGTGGAATCACCAGCTCAATGTATATGACTGTTCTCTTGCTTATTTTTCTTATTTTTTGCAGTTCAAATACCTGAATTTGCGTAGGTTAAATGTGCATATGCTATAACTTGAATCATTTAAGTTAAAAATATCCTTGAGAAACTAGCATAGTCAACATGGTTTAATGCAACAGTTAAATATATGTATCTCTTAAGTTAGAAAACTTGCTGAAGTGCTTGCTCTATGCTTTACTAGGTCACTGTGGAACTTTATGCAATTCACCTAATTTTCCCCTAGGCCTCAGTTTTCTCATTTGCAAATGAGATTCATTTCACAGAGATGTAATGAGCATTACATCACGTAATACATGAAAAATATTAGATCCATTTTGTATATATGTAGTACATAGACATGCATGTTAGAAAGGACAGAATATGTATTTTTGAAATTTTCTAACTTTTGTGTATTTTCTAACATTTTAATGTTCATTCTTTAATGTTCATTCTTCTATCCCAGAGGATAAACAATAAGTCATAATTAATATGGTACTGGTAGTCACAGAACAAACCATATAGCTTTAAGAAAAGTTTTCTAAACAAACAAACAAAAAAAACCAACTAGTGATGTTCTAATAATGTAATAATGCCTTCTTACCTGAAGGAACTTCTTCACATCAGCAATAATTTCTCTGAAGACAAACTGGTCTTTCTGAACCTCAAACCATCCCAGTTTAGTGATTTTAGCAATGACTTGAATTAGAGCTTGGATAACAAAGGGTACCAGCTTGGGTTGTGATGCCACATAATTAAGAATGTAGTTTCCTGTAAGAAAATATTCTGTGATCATTTGAACTTTTCAGTAACATAATGTGAATCATGTGAAGAAAAACAGCTGGTAATTACACATTCTTTGACAAAAAGTTAATCCCTTTCTCTAAGATATATACTTATTTAAATAGTCATTTTTGCTACAATCCTTATTGGGAAAACGGAAATTTGCTCCGATTCAATTTATATATTAGGGGATAATTTGAGTATAATGAGAATGTCACTTTTGTTTTTGCATGATTTCATGTAGAAAAAACTGCCATGTGAATACAGAAAACTGCAACCAGGCCAAATGAAGCAAACCATATACAGGATGCATAGACCTCAAACATCTAGTAAGTATCTCAGGTTCACCCTATGTGTTATCAGCCTCATGCATCCTTATCTGGTTTTATACTTTTCCAAACTATTTCAGATCACCTTCCTTCCATCACTTCATTATAACTCACAAACTGCAACCCTTCTGAAGTCTACACCCAAAAACAAAATTCAGGTCTTCTTCAAGATTAAATGCTTATTTATTCTACTTTTTAAGTATTTCTTAACCATTTAAAATGTGTAAAACTCTACTAAACCTTTTATTAGATTTCTTTTTTTTTAATGTGTCACTGACGAAGTGTCTGAGTTTTATTTCCATATCCCATTTCTCTCATGAACCCTATGATTTTATTGCATAACAATGCATAGCACCGTCACTTCTACAGATGCATATATCTTACTATAGCAAAACTGACTGTACGCTATCCTGTTTAAGTGGCATAAAAGATACATATAGTACAGTATGATAAAATAAGTATATAAGTTAGGAAAAGTACGAACAGAATAGTAAATTAAAACTTGGAACAAAGTAGATACACCAAGATCGTTAAAAGTGGGTAGCAAAGTCAGCTATGAGCTTCCTAGTGGATTGAATAATTGGTAACAAATATGCCAGAAGTCTAACAGGAAAATAAAGGAAACAAATTTTTAAAAAGGAAAAGATTCCATTTCTACTTTGGCCCCAAAGGCCAACATGCCATTAGGGTAAAGAGTAAAGAAAAGGTAAATACCTCAATATTTAACTAAAAATAGCTTTAATAGAAATAGCTGTAGTGAGATTCTTGACATTAAAAAAAAAATTCTCATAACTCAACCTTAATTTTTATTAACAACAAGATTATATAGTTATGGAAATAAAAAAATTAAATCTTTTTTTAAAAGATTTTATTTATTTGAGAGGAAGAGAGAGAGGAAAGGAGAGGCTCCATACCAGGGACCTGGGATCATTACTTTAACTGACATGCTAATTATTCTACTGACATGTCAGACATGTCATGACAAACATTCTAATCTACTTGCAGGAATAAGAGCAGTAGGTTAAACCAAAGAAACTCATAAAGGGAACACATCATTTGTTGCTTGGAATTGTTTTCTAAGTTTCTACGTTTCTTTTTTCCAAATTTCCTTTAAAGCATGTTTTTATTTAGTATTTTATTTAATAATATTTATTTAGTGTTTTATTTAAGTATTTATTTAAAAAAATAAGTCAAATAGACCATCTGACAATAGGCCTATATCTTTTAAATAAACTGAATCAGTAATTATTCTGCACCAGGCCCTGATGGGTTCACTGGTGGGTCCTACCAACATTTAAGGAAGAAATTATATCAATTATCTTCAATCTCTTCCAGAAGACAGAAGCAAGAGAATTCCTTCTAACCAACTCTATGAGGCCAGCACTATCCTAATAACAAAACCAGACAAAGATGTTATCAAGATAAGAAACTACAGACCAATATCTCTCATCAACATAAAGAAAAATCCTCAACAAATTATTAGCACATTGAATCCAACAATGCATAAAAAGAATTATATACCCCAACCAAGTGGGATTTCTCCCAGGTTATGCAAGTCTAGTTCAACATTTGAAAATCCATTAATGTTATCAAGAGAGGAAAGAAGAAAAATCACATGATCATATTATTAGATGCAGAAAAAGCATTTAACAAAATCCAATGGCCATTTATAATAAAAACTCTCAACAGACTAGGAACCGAGGGGAATTTCTCAACTTGAAAAAGAATGTTACAAAAAACCTAAAGCTGATGGGATTAAACCAAAGAAGAACTAAATAAATGGAGAGAGATTCCATGTTCATGGGTAAGACGGCTCAACATTGTCAAGCTGTCGGTTCTTCCCAACCTGATTTGTAGATTCAACACAATCCAAATCAAAATCCCAGTAAGTTATTTTGTAAACATTTACAAGCTGATTCTAAAGTTTACACAGAGAGGCAAATGACCTAGAATACCCACCACAATACTGAAGGAGAAGAACAAAGCTGGAGGTCTGATACTACCCAGCTTCAAGATTTATTATAAAGCTACAGCACTCAAGACAGTGCGGTACTGGTGAAAGAACAAATAGCTCAATGGAACAGAGTGGAGAGCCCAGAAAAAGACACACATGAATACAGTCAACTAATCTTTGACAAAGGGACAAAGGCAAAAAAGAATGAAGACAGTCTTTTCAACAAATGGTGCCAGAACAACTGGACACCCACATGCAAATAAACGAATCTAGACACAGACCTTACACTCTTCACAAAAATCAACTCGAAATGGATCACAATCCTAAATGTAAAGCACAAAACTACAAAAACTCCTAGAAGACAACACAGGAAAAAAACCTAGATCATCTTGGGTTTGCAATGACTTTTTGCACACAACAACAAAGGCACACTCCATGAAAAAAACAGTGATAATTTGGACTCAGTTAAAATGTAAAACTTTTGCTCTGGGAGAAACATCAAGAGAATGAGAAGACAAGCCACAGACTGGAAGAAAAATCTTTGCAAAAGACTAATCTGATAAAGGACTGCTATCTAAAATATACAAAAACTTAAAACTCAACAATAAGAAAACAACCTGATTTAAAAATGGGCAAAAGACTTAGACACATCATCAAAGAAAATATACAGATGGTAAATAAACGAATGAAAAGATGTTCAATCATATGTCATCAGGGAACTGCAAATTAAAACAGTAAGATACTACTACACACCTACTAGAACAGCCCAAATTCAAAACATTGAAAATACCAAATGTTAGCAAGAACGTGGAGCAACAGGAACTCTCATTCATTGCAGATGGGAATGCAAAATGGTACAGCCACTCTGGAAGACAGCATGATGATTCTTTACAGAATTAAACACACTCTTACCATACAATCTAGCAATCACTCTCCTTAGTATTTACCCAAACGAGCTGAACTTATGTCCACACAAAAATCTGCTTTAAACTTTATTCATAATTGCCAAAACGTGGAAGAAATCAAGTAGGTGAACGAATAAATTGCAGTACATCCAGACAATAGCATATCATTTAGTGCTAAAAAGAAACGAGCTACCAAGCCATGAAAAGACATGGGAGAAGGTTAAATGCATATTACTAAGTAAAAGAAGCCAATCTGAAAAGGCTACACATTGTATGAGTCCAACCACATGACATTCTGGAAAAGGCAAAACTATGCAAGCAGTAAAAAGATCAATGGTTGTCAAGAGGTTAGAAGGGAGGGAGGGATGAATAGGTGGCACACAGAGGATTTTTTGGGGGTAGTGAAACTATTCTGTAGACTATAATAATGGGGGATATATGTCCTTATACATTTATGCAACCCACAGAATGCATAATACCAAGAGCGAACCCTAATATAAACTATGGGCTTTGGGTAATTATCATGTGTCAATGTAGGTTAATCAATTATATCTAATGTACCTCTGGTGCAGGACACTAATAATGGAGGAGGCTATACATGTGTGGGGGACAGAGGGTATGAAAACTCTTTCTGCTCAATTTTAAAACTGCTCTAAAAAAATAAAATCTATTTAAAGTGTGTGTGTGTGTGTGTGTATACCTAAGTCAAATAAAATCACGACGTTTTATGTGTTAGTTTTATAATGTTTGGACTCTAATTTTTAAAACTGTAAATTTGTTTTGCTTCCTTAAGCACACAAGTCCATGAACACATGGATAAATCCTCCTCTAGGCTTTCTGCAGTCTATGATTCTGGGTCCTTAAAGAAAAGTATTAGTCAAATATATGAGGCAAATGACATGTCATTGTGTGATTTGATCGTTCAAAAATCAGGCTTAAAATCCATCATACATACACATTTTAACTCTTCTGATACACAAATACAAATAATGTGAACCTTGAGGCTGGAGAGCATATATGAACCAACAGTTCATTTCTACTATGAACAAAAATAACTGAAAAAAAAATCCCATAGCTCAATTATTAGACTTCTGTCCATATGAAAAGCAAACACATACATACACAGATACACACACACACACAAATCTTAAAATACATTATTTCTGAAAAATATACTGCTACTTCATAGAATCAGTTTTCCAACTACACTAAGTTCCAAATATTATTCTTCCATATACACATTATCTTCCTAATAAGTAGGAACCTGCTTCTGATTTGACATGCATCCCAAATGATTTTGTATAGCATCCTGAGAAATAAATGGGAGAGTTGACTTCTTTCCTATCATTCAGTTGCAAATGAAGTTAAGACAATGGCTAAGAGCATAAAATCCACACAGATTGTTTGGATTTGAATCACAGCTCTACTTCTGTGCTGTGTGATCTTGGGCACACTACAGAGCCTATCAAATCTAATTTCCTCATTTATAAAATGAGGATAATAAGAGCACCCACTTCATAAATGTGGTGGATAAAATGAGATAGTACAAATCTTACCAACAGTACACACAATAAAATGCTAGTTATTATTTATTATTAAACTAAACAAATGCTTTTTTTGATTATACATTGTTGTATAACACATCACTGTTCATCACTAGATGGGTAAAGGAGACCTGACAACTCATCTTCAAAAAATAACAGAATTTTAAATAACTTGTATCCCTGTTAACAGTTTAACATATTTAAAAGGAAAAAATTACTTTGAAGTACAATGTTAAATAATGTAACATTGTGTGTCAACTATACTTCAATAAAAAATAAAGTGCAATTTTATAAAAAAGCATAATAAACCACTTACTGATATCTACCCTCTGTTCAACTGGCAAAGGACTGATTCGGCTAACAAGTTTTGAAAGACATGTTGCTGCAAGGAGCTGAGCATAGGATGTCTGTAAAGAATAATACATTTTATTTATTATTATCACAAATGAAATTAGAATCATCAAAACACTGACAGGAACTTTTCCTAAGCAATAATGGAAATTTTCCTGGTTTTCCAAGCTGGTAGATTTACAATGAATAAAGTATATATACAAATATACACATATATGTATACAATCTCTCATAAGGGTTCAGTCATTGAGGAAGGTATAGGTCACTTTTTCACACAGCAGCAAATAATCGAGAGAAAAAAATTATTTTGAGCAAGTTCAAATAAAATACTCTTATCATGTCTACACAGTCCTGTATGTTCTGGCCTCTGATTATCTCTTCCAATTCACCTGGTTCCACTCTTCACTATCGTCTGATCACAATAGCTTGTCTTTTAGCCCCTCTGAATGCCTTTCCCACCTTGACCTCCCCACTCCTTCAGATCCATGTCTTACTGTATTGTATCCTCTTTGGCCACAAATTGTCTTAACTTAATAGTATACTCAATTCATCAAAATTTGGTCCAGTTATCCACTATACCTCCAGTAATTTCTTGTAAAATAGTCCTTCTTTCTTTTTTTTCTCTTGACTAGATGTCAGCAAACTAAGGCCCGTGGATCAAATCCTATCTGTTTTTGCAAGGTCCGTGGGGTATGAATGGTTTTTACTATTTTAAACAGTCGGGGGAAAAATAAAAATAATATTTTGTGATATGTGAAAAATATGAAATCCAAATTTCAGTGTCCATAAATAAACACAAAACATAGCCATGATCATTCATTTATATATTGTTGATGGCTGCTTTCGTGCTATGACAGCAGAGTTGAATAGTTGAGACAGACTGTATGTGGCACTCATTGCCTCCTGCTGCTGAATGCATTACATATTGCAATAATATAGTTATAATTCCACAGCACCTAGAGTGCCATGGGTATTGCCATGACATGTACCTTTGATTATTACCAGTGCATAACCATCATGTCAAAACAAGATAAAAGCAGATTTCAAGTATCTAACTTTTAAGGCACAGCTGAGTTTGAATTGTTGTTATTGAATTAGATAGCAGAGCAATGTGCTCTTTATGCAATGGCCCTACAGCTGTCCTAAAAGACTATAATATATGTTGACAATATCAGACTAAGTATTCATGACAATGTTACTAACTCACAGGAAATCAACAGTCAGAAAAAGTAGAAAATTAGAAGAGTATCTCATCTCAGTGGAATTTCCTCACAAAAATAAAATGGAACTGAGACCAAAGTTCTGAAGAGACTTGTTTGTTAGCCAAGCAAGGAAAGTCATTTACCAATGGAGAATTAACTAAAATCACCATTACTTTATTGTAGTAGCGAAATTATATATGCAGAGAAGATAAACCTCAAACTACTCGCCTTTCAATGAGAACAATGCTCAAACAGCTGAAGACATGGGAGCAACATCAAAAGTCAATTTCAAACAAGGCAAATGATTCGGAGGTTCTCTTTAGTTCCTAACGAGCTGACAGATGTGCTAATTCTGCCTATTCTGTTACCAATATTATCCATTTATTCCAGAAGTCAATGCTAAGTCTGAAGTGACTAAAGACCTCTATGAAGAGTCTATGTGGAACTTCAGCCCAGAAATATTTTCAAAGAAGTTGAGAAAACACTAATTGTGTACAACCTGAAGCAGTATCTGCTAAGATGTGTCACAAGTGGTGGTAAAAATATATGGAACAGAAAAGGGCTTAGTTGTACAAATTTACAAAGCTTATAAAAATGTAAGAGTCTCACACCTATGGTTATTCATTCTGTTCTTCATCAGTAGATACTCTGTAGTAAATTATTTGAGTCTACTGTGTGTTAAGGAATCAGTGGTGTTAATAGTAGACTTCAATTCACTTTTGTGAACTTATCTTCAGTTCTGTGAATTTCTGTCAGAAATATAAGCTGAAAGTCCTGACTTGCCCCACCACACTGTAGTTCAAAGCTTAGCAGTAGTAAAGTTTTATCGCAATTTTTTTTTAGCTCAGGGCTGAGACTGAAATTTTTCTGAGAAGAACCACTATTGTTGCATGCTAAAAGGCTTTTAAAATTAGCTTTTGCTGCAGACTTGATAATGTAATTTAATGAATTCAACCTGAAGTTACAAAATTGCCTAAAAGGCAAACGAGTGCTTAGTACTTACATTACAAAACTTATAATTCAGTAAAGTCATTTCAGTAATAACTAACACTTTTTCGATCACAACTAGTAGTCAGCTGCTTTATACACTTTCCACACTATCAAAAGTTAAAACAAATAGTAAGATCTCTATCCCTGAGTATATTTTCTGAGCTCAAACTACACTTCCAGCAGCATTTTTCAGACCCTGATACAAGTGCAAAGGAAATTTCCGTATTTTAAAATCCATTTAACTGAGTAGCTAAGGAGCTTCCACCTAACCTTCAATGGATGTGATTAATCTGCAATGTAATGACATTCTGAAAGGCAAACATCAAGAGAAGTTTCAACAGAATTCTATAAATGCCTTCTAAGTGATGAATATGCTTAATTAAAATCATATCTTATGGATTGATATCAATATTTGGCAATATCTATCTATGTGAAAAGACATTTTCAAAGATAAAATGTAAAAAAATCTCATTACAGATGAGTATTAACACATGAACATTTACAATCAACATGGATGACAGAAATATTAACTTTGAACCCCGATTAAGTCAAATGTTATCTCCAAAAGAACAGTTTCATTCTTTTGACTATTAGATCTGTATTTCAAAAAAACTGTACTCAATTATTATACTTTTAAGTTTCATCAACAAAACTTTATGGAAATTTGTTTTCTCTCTTCTTAGAGATGTACTTACAAAATATCCTTGATTTAGCCTCTTGGCCTGCAAAGTCTGAAATCTTTACAATCTGGCCCTTTACAAAAAAAGTTTGTTGACCTCTGCTCTAGCCCCTACAGTCTCCTACTGTAGCAATACCCTATCATTTTACAGCTATTTTTTACACGTTTATGCCTCTTCAACTAAACTATGAGTTATTTTAATGCATGTACATAAAGCAGGTAGGTAGTACTATACCTGGTTTTACATTTAAGTATTTGCTACATGACTACTGAGTGAATGGCTAAGTATCTCTAGAAGGGAGGCAGGCAAGAGGTAATCAGCATTCCTGTGAACCATTCCTTCATGTTTTAGAGTTAATTACAACCTGCCTCTCTTACCTGAATTTTTTTTTTTAAAAAAAAGCTCTTAGTCAACTTTCTAAAAATACAACTTTGCCCACCACTGATATGAGACATCAAAAGGGGTCAAGACGAATGAAGAAACTATTTCAGTTCACGCCTATTTCTACCTCTTGGGCTCTCTTCTAAAGTTTGCTCTCCAGATTTTCCAATTCTTTCTATGATTAATCTCTTTGACAGTGAAGTAAACTATAACAAAAAGACATGCATAATATCAATTATCATTGCTAACCTACACAAGTTCATTAACACTGACATGTATCTACTGATCTTTCATGGTTAATCACTGTTATCAAATACTTACTGTTCCTTGTTCTAATAAAAGTTGACACTTGCTGAGACATTCTGGGCTGTCAATAAGTTCCAGGAGTGCTTTCTCAGCCTCTATTCTTTGTGTAAGATCAGTCCCTATGTAGAGATGAGTACATAACACTTCCAATTCAGCCAAGCTCTTGGGAAGAAAAAAAAAAAATTAACATTTTACTTGAGTGAAAGACAAAAATAAGGTATACATAATAATATGGGAATCGAGGGATGCAAATATCATGCCTGAATTCATCAATTCAATAAATACTTACTGAGCTACCACTACTTACTAGGGGTCACAGTGGTGAACAAAAAAGGCCTATCTCCTATCGCCAAGTTATTTATTTATAAATTGACAGTACTGTAGTGGAAAAGTAAGAGTATAGAAAGAGAAGGACTTGCTTAATCCAAGGAGTTTAAAAGGCTTGCCTGAAGTAGTAACATTTATCCTAAAAGGGTGAGCCAGATGAAAAAAGACTAGACAGGAGTCCAGGGAGAGAAGTAGTGTTTACCAGGGCCCAGAACAGAGTGTAATCATTTTGAGGTATTAAAAGGTCAATGTCCCCGGTAGACAGCAAGGAGGAGATGCCAAACGAAGCTGAAGAGATAGGTGGGGGGAATTATCATGAGCAAGATGCAGACACTATGTCAATTACATTATTTCTCAAATTATTAGAATTTCAATGGTTCCATCCATAAAAAAGCAAAGATTATAAATATACACTGATTTGGGGTTTCTGAACTAATGACTCATAGTGCTGCAGGCAAACTCTGTCATGATTTTCAGGAACTATGACCTAACCCCATGTTATTTCTAGCAGTGTAATAACTGGTTATCATGTTGCAGGCTCCTATTTTATAAGCACAAAGAATAATTTATTCTGTTTATAAATATAATTTCATCTGAAGATATAAAACATGGATAAGATCTGGAAAAAAAAATGAGATCAGCATTCTTGTTAGCTTAACACAGTTTTGTTAAAGGCCCCTGACTAAAACAAACTACTTCACTTTGAACTTGAATTACAGAGAATTCTTTGGAGGACAAAAAAAAAAAAAAAGGCACAGATTTCAATATCAGGTAGTCATATGGAGGTAATGGGATATTCCTAAAGAAATGCCATTTTTTATCCTTTCTGGCCTGAATTTTTATGTGGCAGCCTTAGAGCTACACTAGCCCAAACATTCTCTCAAAAACATATATCCTTGCCTAACATGAATGCACACAAAACACTGAAATGAGACCTCCTCTAGCTCCTTTACTCTTCTCACTTCTCTCTCCTTCTTAGCTCCTTTATGGCATTTTCCATTTTCTAACCGGGTCAGAGCCCAAAATCCCAGACTTGGGAAATTTCTGCTAGAATGAAAGATAAAGAGAAAGGTTTCAAATGAATAAATTAAGATAAAGGACCTCAAGTGCGCCACCTTTTAAACATTTCCCCCACCTAGACTGGCCCAACAAGCCCTCAGAGTACTGCTCCATAATGCTCATAATATTAAAATGCATAGAAAATTTATGATTCATGAATACATATGAATTTCCATATTTTCTCCAAGGGTAAGAAATACAAAAATAGAAAGAGCTACCTTTTTCCCCTCTCCTGACTCATGATCAACCTTAGAAGTCTTTTCCTTCATCTAATAAACTTGAAGCGCTGAATTTTAGAACTGGTAAGACCCAGAATGATTTAATGATAAACTGATCCTGCTGTCAAGCATTCATGGAGGCCTAAGAGTCTCTGAAGAAGTAGATTTTGAATTCAAAAAGAATTGGGCCAGAAAGAGTGACAAGACCTAACTGTTTAAAAGCAAAAGGCAGCAAAAAAGTAAGACTCAAACCTATCTTTTGGTTTGTTTGGAGAATTAAATGAGTAAGGGTCACGTAACTTCTGGCACAGAGTATACCCTATGAAGGCTAGTTGTTTATTACTATTATGACTTAGTAAGATTGTAATGGGTGGAACTGTATCCCCCTAAAATATATGCCCAATTCCTAACCCTGGTACCTTCGAATGTGTCCTTATTTGGAAATAAAGGTAATTGCAAATCCTTAAATTAAGGATCTTAATGACACCATCCTGGATTTAGGGTGGGCCCTAAGTCTAATGACTCATAAAAGAAAGGAGAAGTACATGTGAGATGCAGAGACACAGAGATACACAAAGGAGAAGGTCATATGAAGGAGGCAAAGACTACAATGATGAATCCACATGCCAAAGTACACCAAAGATTTACCAGCAGCCATCAGAAAGTAGGAGAAAGGCATGGGGCAGTTTCTCCCTCAAGGAGTCCAGAAGGAACCAATACTACTGACATAATAGTTTCAGACTTCTGGCCTTCATAACTGTAAGACAATAATTTTCTGTTGCTTTAACCCACCCAGTTTGTGGTAATTTGTTACAATAGTACTAGGAAACTAATACAAATATTAATCAATTCAGTGGTACTTAAGTAAACCTATTTGGAAAGATTCCAGAAAAGTTCTGGAGATTATTTTGTGTTTTGCTATACTGATTTAAAGAACCTCAACAAAGAACAAATCTGGAGTGAATTCAAATAGTATTGGTTTAAGTCAACAATATTACAAATTACCTTTTTCTTTCCAAAGGTATTTCAAAGTATTAACTGAAAGGCAGTACAAGACAAAAAGGGAAGGATTTGAACTTTTTCTTAAGAAAGACTGAAAAAAGGGCGGGGGGAATCAAGTCATTCTTTCACTGTGATGATAATAATGAAACACATGCCAGGCATATCAAATCTTTTTAGAGAAAAGGATACACCCACAAAGATCCTTACTCTGGTGGAAAGTCATTACCTAAACATTTAAAACACTTAAATTCACAATGTGGTGAATGCTGACTGACCAAGCAATCTTCTGATTAGCACTGGACTCTCCAGAGAATCTATAAAGAAAGACTTTATTTTTCACAATGAATTGATAAATTTGCATCTTAGTTTTACACACTGATGTCTACGCATATGGTTAACATTAAATGCCTTAGAGAAATGGATCCCTTCTCTATTTGCTGACAAATCAGGTTTGAGTTATTAAAGCTCCTGCAAGGCTTAATATCAATATTAGAAGCCCATAAAAATAACTAATAGGTAAAACAAGTAGAATTGGACATCACCTAACTCCCAAAGAATAACTATTAAATATAAACAGACAGCATCCAACTTCCACAGCATGAGACAATGACATATTCTGCCTTAAAGATCTTCCAAGTTATTCTGAACTCATTTCTAGTCTTCGCACGTGACATACAATTAACCCCTAAGTGATGTGACTTCTTTCTGTACAGTGATTCTCACACATGTATCCATCAATGGGTAGATGCTAAGTAAAACAAAACAACAACAACAACAAAAAACAGACAAAAAGCGTATATATTGGAAGGTATTAAAGGAAAAGAAAGCAGATCACAGGTTTTGGCCAGGGAGGAAGGAGAGCAGAACAGGATGGGGGAATGGCAATGGGGGTTTACAAAGGAACAAAAGGAAACTTCGGGGGGGTGATGGATATGCTCATTATCTTGATTTTAGTGATGGTTTCACAGGTGTAAACATATGTCAAAACAGCACAATTTAAATATGTGCAGTTTATTGTCAGTTATACCTCAATATTAAGCTAAAAAAAAAAAAAAGAATGATGGCTTTTGTTCTAGGGGAAAAAATGGCCCCTAATAATAAAAAAATAAATCAATGAGCCACAAAAATCCCACCCCAATTGAATTTAAAACTCTTTTCAATTACTTCTCTATATCTTTCCTGCCATCTGGAATTAAGATTCTTGATTATCATTAATAGAAAACACTTTCATCTTGAAGTTACTAATTTCCCCACAAATCTTTGTTTCTTCTTCCCTTTACTACCTTTTCCTGAGCATACCTGAAGGCTTATTCCTGGGTCTCTTGAAACTCCTCCTTCTACATTGAATTAAAATAGTATTTGTTTTTAGAGCTTTATAGTTTACAAAAGTATTTCCATCTTTTATTTTTCAACCAATCCTGAAAAGTAGACTCCTGCAAACTACATATTTGTAGTACACCCATCTTAAGACAAAAAACAAAACAAAACAAACACTGAGGCTGAGAGATCAAATATATATATATATATATATTTGATATATATATATATAAGTTGCTTAAGATCAAGTGTGGAATAAATGGTCAATTTTGAGCCAAATAAATACAAGTCTACAGACCTCAAGAACATGTTGTCTCCTTACCACCCTGATGTTTTTACTTCAATCTGCAGGGAGATAAGCAGATGATGTCCTACTCCATACTTTCAACCCTGTCTGCTCACCATCTTTATACCTACCAATTTCTTCCTCTTGGAAATACAGAAAGATGCTAAAAACAAGCCAAAAATGTCAGAAACTGAACTGAACAGATTTCCACTTCAAGTGGCTCTTTGTTTTCAGTGGTTTCAAAGGTCTAGACCAGGATCTAGATTTATAATTTTGATGTCAGCTTTGTCTCTTCCTTCTCCTTAGCCCCTCCTACATAGTTAAAGAGTTTGGCTTTGCCCAAAGAAAAGTCTGGCCTTTACCCTCAGATTCTGGAAGGTTAACCTATATCATACCTGACTGGCCTGTTTTTGTTTAGGGGCTGGGAGTTGAGGGATATACACTCGGTAGTCTTAAGTTGGGGGCTGGCCACACCAGAAAGACCAACTGTGTGTTTTAGGGTAGGGGCTTTGGATCACATTAGTATTAGCCAGCCTAAAGACGGAGATCAATCATGAGGGCAATCAATAGTCAATCATGACTATGTAATGAAGCCCCAGTAAAAAGTTCCCTAGTTTTCAATACTCAATGCCTTCGGTCATGCATATAGGCTGGGAGAGTAACATGTCCTAAGGAGAGCAAAAGCTTTGTTTTGGAACTCTCCCAGACTCTGCCCTTTGCATCTCTTCTTTTAATCAATTTTAATCTGTGTACTTTCCCAGGAATAACTGCATGTATATGACAGCTTTCAGTGAATTCACTGAGTCCTTTTGATAAGCTATCAAATCTGAGCATGGTTCTAGGAAACCCCCAAATATGCAGTTGGTGTCAGAAGTGAGGGCAGTCTTGTGAACTATGCCTTAAACCTCACAGTTTAGCTAATTCCTGGTATATACCTAATTTGTCATAAAATCCTAACAATTCTTTTTAACTCGAGACTCAGACTCTACACCTCTACATGATAGTCATAGACAACAGAGCAATAGAACAGTATTTTCTAACTGTGGCCTCCAGTGCCAGGATTTCTTCAGCAGCTTCTTTGGGAATGAGTAAATGCTCTAGAATCTACCACTTATTGACCCCAAGCAAATTATTTAACCTTTCTAAACTTCACTTTTGAAACTGCAGGTAGTAATATCCACCTTACACAATAACCATGAAGAGTAAGATAGAAAACAGAAAGCTTAACCCAGTGCCTGGCACACAGCAGATCCACAATAAATTGTAAGTAATCCCTTCAGTTCGCGATAAATTATAAAACACTACATTGGTCTTCTATCTATAGTTTCTCCCAATCAAGTCCATACTGCCATGATCTTTCCCAAACCTCTTTCCCATTATGTTACCATCATGTTCAAATATAACAGTGCACAATCACATCTAGATGAATCGGGTAGCCTGGCTGGGTATGAAGAAACATAGCCATAGTCCCTGGTTCTGGAACAATTCTGAGAGCAAAAAGATGAACCAAATGAGTACTCCAAATTTTTCCTGGCATTATCTCTTGATTCTCATCTCAATTCCCCTGGTCTATCTAAAATTCTTTTATCTTACCTATTCCCAACTCTATCTTTCCTCACTCTGCCTTCCTCCCCCCATTCTGGACTGTCTCCTCTCAAATGATAATCCAGATCCATTGCTTCCTTTGGGACAAAGTATTCTAACTCATTCACAGCATGTACCTTGATGGTATGCCTGGCATATTGATCCTCCAGCCCTCCAGGAAGCCAGGCTTTTGGCTGTGAGCAGTTTATGTCAATGAACAAGACAATCACCATTTTTTATGTACGCCATAATGTGAAAAAGATTGTGGAGAAGTGCTCTAACCCACCTTACACAAGTCCACATCTTTACTCATCACCCTAATGGCATAATTTTTGATGAGCTACCCTGGTAAGTAGGGGGACAGTAAGATATTGATATGAAAGAATATGGAATTATGAATTATTAGGCCTATTCTAACTCTACAGCCTTCGGCAAGTCACAACTGTTCTAAGATTCAGTGTCTTCAAGAATAAAATGTATGTATATACATATATGCACACCTCTCAAATTAGTTGTGGGGCTCAAAATCTACAATAAGCCTGTGAAAATTCAAAATGCTAGGTACCGGTCATCATTATTAATAAATGTTCCTTGAGTTAACTGGAGAATATGGTCTCATATGCTAGAAATACGTCAAACTGAAAAGTTTCAGAGCTTTTTCTCTGGCTCTCAAAACTGTTTGATATTTTATTTGTCCAACTACACTTTTGAGCTGCTATGAACCAATACAGGTAGTTTTGGCATTAGCAGCTAATTTTTCCAACCTAAGTATGAAGAAGTCTTCCAGGACTGAGGACTTTACTATTATGCATCATCTTTCTAAGGCTGAAAACTTCCAAACTTCTACTACAGTCTTTACTCTCAAGATTTATACCTGAACTATGAACACTTGATTACCTATTTACAACCCCAAAGTCCTCCCTGTAGGTTTCTTCCTGTGAAAATTTCCCAGGGGGCATGTTTACCACAGTGGAAATAAATAACATTATTTTGACCTGGACACCCTCAGAAATGGCAAGGAGTCAAAAGGTAATGTGTGAGGCTCACTACTTCCTGGTCTATAAATCATGGAGCTGTCAATCACCTGACAGAAGAGTGGATGGTTGGAAAGAAAAGATCCTTTGGAAGAATCAATAAATAAGAAATGAGTCAGTATGACCACAGGCAGTCCGAAGACTACAAGAAGAACTTGACACATAGACACAGTCACCACATTATGAAATTGACTACCCTCCAAGGTCATTCCTGCTATCCACAGCCTCCCCCTCTTTATTCTATTTTATATGAACCTTATGCTCCAGCCAGACCAAACTTCCTGCAGTGTGCCATGTTCTTCCACAATTCTTCGCCATCATTCACATGGTCCTTTTGCCTCTATACTCTTCCCCTCCTCTTCACCTGGCTGGCTCTTACAATTCTTTCAAGACCCACTAGACTGCAAGTTCCATGAGAGTAGAAATCATAGTTTTGCTAAAGCTGTCTTCCGTGCCTAGCAAAGTAGGAACTCAATTCATAACTGGACGAACGGAAGCTCAAAGAAACTCAAAACATCTCCTCTGAGAAGCAGAAAAGCTCTGCCTCATTCCTTCTCAAGACACACACACACGGCTGACTGCCCGTCTTCAGTGTTCCCATGATATCCTGTGTTTAATTCTACCATATCATTTTTACATGTACTGTAATTATCTGTGAATTCTGTGAAGGCAGGGATGGTAAGATGATGTAATCCTTTAACCCAGAACTGTGCACAGTGCTTGAGACACAGTGGGAGCTCTATAAATGTTTGTTGAATGAATAACTGGATGCACATGCCAGTGCAGCCCGAGAATACGTGAACCTTCCTCCTCAAGCACGGGTCCCATCCTTATCTCCGCGTTCCTCGGGCACGCTGCCCCGGTTTCCTCCTCCAATAAGGTTGCTGCTAAGCACTCCGCAACTCCCTACAGATACAGCCCCCGCCCGGTGTAGCCAATTAAAAATCCAACCGCTGGCGCCGTTCCTTCCGGGGGCCCTGGCCCCCTCTCGAACTGCATCCCAACCGTGTGGAGGCTGGTGATGGAGCTGCGGCCAGCGACGCGGCGGGAAGGCTGGTCCGGCCCGGCCAGGCTCCCACCTGCCCGGGCGCCGCCAAAGCAGCCCTTCGCGCCGTGCCCCGCGCAAGAAGTGCGGGCTACCGCGCAGCGGATCCTCAGCATCCGCACCTCCCCGGAGGAGCGAGCTCCGAACCTGGCCCCTGCCCCTCCACCCATCACCCCCAGGCACGGGCCATCCCCTCCTTGGGCCCGGGCCCGGGGTGGGCAGCCCAGGCCAGTGCCCGAGTCTCCGGCCGGGGCGGGGGCCGGGGCTCCGAGGCGCCGGTCCGAGGCCCGGCGGCCTCCGCCGCCGTCCTCAGCCCTCAGTCTCCAGACCTCAGCGTCCCGCCGGGTTCCAGGGGCGGCGGAGCGGGGACCCGCGGTGCACAGCGCACTGACCTGGAAGTGCAGCGCCATCTTCCCGGGAGGCGGCGCCGGCCGGCCGCCCCGAGCGCCGGAGGGGAGGGAGCGGAGGCGGGCACCGCTGAAGCCCCAGACGCCCGCGGGGTCCCTGCGCCGCTGGCTCGCTCCGCACGTTCGTCGCCTCCGCCGCCCGGCCTCTGCGTTTGAAGCGCTGGACGGGGCGGGGCCTGACGGGATGGGGCGGGGCGACGGAGACGGCGCGCGGGGGGAGGGCCTGAGGGGGCGGGGCCTAGGGAGCCAGGAATCTCAACCGCCCCCAGCACGGAGGTTTGAACCGCTGATGCTACCTCAGGTGGGTCATAACCTCTGACATCTTTCCTTTGACACAACCACCACAACGCAACTGTCAGCCATGACCCCTGGCTCTTACATCTCCCACAAACTCTGTTGATCCTGAAGCCTTACAGCACAACTATTGCCCATGGCTTCTGATGCCCCCATCTCCACAATTGTTCTTGTCCCCTGAACACCCACTTGCTGTGCACAATCAGCCATAACCTTGGACTCCTTCATGCCAACTGCTGTCCTTGACCCCTGACTCCCAGAGTCCAACTTCCATTTTCTTTTTAACTTTATTTGGGTTAAAATTAAAATGACAGTGTCTACATGGTGTTTTGTAAAATTCTAGCTCACCTCTTACTACTTCTCGCCTATATTTCATTGAATATGAATTTGTGTTTTACACCAAATGATTCCATTGGAATGAGAATTTATTTGAACAAAAGTAGTATTGAACAAAAGAATTTATTTGAACAAAAGTCACTCCTTTCTGGTGCTTTTCATTTCTTCTTGAAGATTGACCCTTCCAGTTGGGGGCATTGTGAAATTTCACACTTTAGTGTGAAAAATTACTTTAATACTTCGTATAGTTCAAGTTTACTAGTAACAAATTCAGCCTTTGTTAACATGAATACATCTTTATTTCACCGATATTTTTAAAGGATAGTTTTGCTAGGTATAGAATTCCATTTTGTCTTTTAAAAAATATGTTCTCAGCATTAAAAAAAAAAAAACAACAACGTCTTTTTCCTTGATTTCTGGTTACCATTGTTTCTGTTGAGAAGTTAGCCATCTGTCTGACTACGGCTCCTTTAAAGGTAATGCATCTCCCACCTCTGGCTGCTTTAAATTTTTTCTTTCTTTTTTGTCTTTAGCAGTTTGAGTGTGATGTAATTCTGTGTGTGTGTGTGTGTGTGTGTGTTATCCTGCTTGGGATTCGTAAGGCTTCTTAACTATGAAATCTGGTATTTTTATCAGTGTTTGAAAATTCTCTGTATTTCCTTAAATATTGTTTCTGTTCCTCTCTGTCTCTTATCCTTTTGGAACTCCAGTTACATTATGTTAGACTTTTTTGAGTACTCCGTATGTTTCTTACACTCTTTTCTGTATTTTTTTGTCTTTTTTTTTTCCTCATTGTGTTTTAATCTGCATATTTTTTTTACTGACCTGTCCCCCATTCAGTAGAAACTCTGGTCTGCTGTATCTGAGCTGCTACACAACCCCTCTATTGGAATCTTAATTTTAGGTATAATATTTTCAGGTCCAGAATTTTCATTTGAGTCTTCCCCTTCCATTCTTTAAACAGGTTCTAAGGCTCTGGTGGAATTGTTTATCTTTCCTCTATTTTCTTGAACATTTTAATCATATTGTTTAAAGCCCCTATCAGATAATTCCAATATCTGAATCACCTATGGGTCCTCCTGGGTTTTGGCATTTAGTCTTGTTTTTTAAGCATGCCTTATAATCTCTTATTGAATGTCAGACAGTGTGGTAGAAAAATTGTAGAGACTGTGGATGATATCAGCTTTCTCCAAAGAGGATTAAGTTTTCTTATTGTAGTAGGCAGATAGAATACAAGTGAATCATCTTAATCTGATTGAGACTTGGTTTTAGGCTTTTAAATTCAAGTTTATTTCAGTTTGCCCTTATTTCTAGGTCATGGTTCTTACCAGATCTTACTAGAGCTTGAAAGCCTGAATATTTGCCCAAGACCCCTCCACCTTGTGGGGCTTGAACTCTAATCCCCATTTCCCCAGTACTGTGAAGCTGCTAAAATCTCTGTTCAACTCTTTAGGCGCTGCTGTTCTGCTGAGTTTCTTAAAGTCTCTTCCTGTGCATGTGCATCTTAAGAATTTACTGATGATTTAAAGGGAATTTATATACAGATTTTGGGGCTCACATCTCTGTAATTTCTCCTCTCTAGAATTGTATCCTTCAAATCCCAGCTGCTTTTGTTCCTAAACTCCCATCTCCTACTGAGATCGCTACTGTCTATTTAGCTCTGTTACCCCTGTGCTAATTCAAAATGCCCAGGGTGGGAACTGACCTGAATGTGGACCTTGCCCTTAGTGCTTTCATGCTCTCAAGGGTTGAAGCCAATCAAGTCTTCTTATCTTTACTGGTTGTTCCCTAGTGCCTTCAAGCAGTTGTTATATGTGTGTGTGTGTGTGTGTGTCATTGTTAATACACATTAAATTATCAAATTTATTTATATTTGTTATATATGTAATATATTAACATATTTGTTAAATGTATATATATGTGTGTTTATATAAATGTATACATATGTGTGTGTGTGTGTGTGCGTGTGCGTGTGTTTGTCCTATTTTTATAATTGATTTAAGTGGGAGGTCTAATTCAACATAAACTACTCCATTATGATGAGACTGTTTGTACCTTCTATTCTTCACCCTTGATTTTTATAGCTCATCCATAGCCCATGAATCCTCGTCCCCATAACCCAGCTCCTAAACTTGAAAATGTTCAATACCCTCATTCTGCCATTCATGACTCCTGTATCCCAGAGTTTTTGATTCCTAAATTCTAACTTCTATTTCCATGCTTTAAGACTTTTGATATCCAGTCTCATTTGTGACTCCTACATCCCTAGCACCAGTGTTGATTTCTGACCTCCCTATTGCATCTGCCATACAATACCCCATTATTTTAACTGCTTATTGCCTTTGTCTAACTTCTGAATCCCAGTCCACATTTTAAAGCTATTGTTTTAAAGTGGCATTTCCATTACCTCAAATTTTAAGCTATTACAGGAGGAACAATTTCTTAAGATTTGATCATTTAGCTTTTTTTTGCCCCATAGCAGAATATCCTTGGCACAAATATAAGATTGTGATAAGAACAGCAGCTGACTATTCTGTGGATTTGCAAGGTAACTCAGAAAATGATTTCTCTTTCTAGAGAGGAGAAAATGATTATTTTTTCCCTTTAAATTTGAGTGACCACTTAAGATTTCAGTTTATAATGAACTCTCCCTTCCATGATTTTCTAACAAAATATGCATACAACTCCGTATCTTTTTTGTCAATTAATAAAATTTAAGATAGAATTGTGTCACTGCAGCTATTAAAAGTAGCACACCTGGGGCACCTGGGTGGCTCAGTCAGTTCAGCGTCTGCCTTTGGCTCAGGTCATGATCCTGGGGTCCTGGGATGGAGCCCCGCATCAGGCCCCCTGCTCAACAGGGAGTCCAATTCTCCCTCTCCCTGCCCCCACTCATGCTCTCTTTTGCGCACTCTCTCTCTCAAATAAATAAAATCTTTTTTAAAAAATGTTTTTAAAAATAGCACAAAAGATGCTCCAGGATGTCAAATAATTCATTTCTATCACAAAACTCAATTGAAAGAGGGACATTTAGAGCTCTTAGGAATTACAAAAGTATCTTCTATGGCAGCTAGCCTTCTAAAAAAGACAAATGGATCTTAGATCTTTGTATCTTTTCAGGAAATTCAATTAACATTTGTAATTCTGGTACCTTAGGAAATTCACCTAACATCTTTGAGTTTTGATTTGTTTTTTCTTGTTTCCATAACAGGACTTTTGTGGGCCTGAACTGTGGGACTGAACTGTGGGACTGAAACTTCAAAATATCCAATTAACTAACAACAACAAAAAAACCCTCAAAATATCCAACTAAAATTCGTTGTTTTTTTTTTAAGATTTTATTTATTTATTTGACAGAGAGATAGAGAGAGCCAGAGAGCACAAGTTGGGGGGATGGCAGAGGGAGAAGGAGAAGCAGACTCCCCACTGAGCAGGGAGCCTTATGCAGGGCTCCATCTCAGGACCCTGGGATCATGACCTGAGCCAAAGGCAGATGCTTAACTAACTGAGCCACCCAGGGGCCCCTCCAACTAAAATTCTTACTTTATCAATACATAAAATATAAAACCTATGGTCAGTCATTTACTTTAGTAGCACATATAAACAAAAATAGGAAACATTAGTACACACCTCCGTTAATTTATTCTACAAAATGTAATTTTATTAAATACACTTAATAAGATTAATACCTCAGTAAGTTTTAGGAATCTAGCAGAAGGCAGGCAGGTGAGAGAAACAGGAGAAAAATGCATCTAAAAAATTCAGTTATGTAAAACCCCTCCAAAACACAACAGCTGCATAAAATATGTATATTTGTGTATATTTCTTTCATATTGGTTGATTTCAACTATGATTTTATTTTATCAAGTCATTAACCTTAAACTCTATTTAAATATCCAGTGTGAAACCAGAGTAACAAAAAAAAATTTCTTCTCCTCTGGTGATATAAATATGAGTTATCTCACAATCTTTATTATTACACATATACTAAAAACTATACACACTTTTTCTTTAAATGATTTTATACTTTTAACATACTGGCAATAACAAACGTATACTGCTATGTATTAATAATGTTATTATTTTGACAAATTAGAACTAAGTAATATTTTTTATTTTGTATATTGCCTTATATTACTTGCTTATTAGTTCTTCCACATAATAATAAATAGTTTAAAGCATTGATTACCTCAGGAAGATAGTAATGTTATGTTAACTATGTATCCTTAAAGTTATCCCTAAGCAGCATCATGTAAAATATCACTGACATGTAATGCTATTGGATAAAGTAGTATACCCATTCTGAAAAGCAATTTGCAATATATATCAAGAATCTTGAAAAAGTTTATCATCTTCACCCAACTTCAAGAAAGTGATTCTAAGAAAATAACCTAAACTGCAAAAAAAAAAAAAGTTTTATATGTGAAGGTATTTATTAAAGCATAATTTATAATAGGGGAAAGCTGAAAGGCTAAGTAAATTATGGCACAGCATATGGCAGAATCTTATATAGTC